CGAAGGGTCCAATTACTGCCGCTGCTGGAGGGCGTTCGAAGGGACGTCCGGGTCGTCCCGGCGGGGATCTCGGTCAGGTTGTCGAAGAACTCGGACGGGGTGTCGTCTGCGGCGGCGACGGCCATGCCGCCCGCGCGAACGAGCGGGGATCGCGAAGGGCGATATTCCGCCGTGGAGGGCGATGGCGGGCTTTCCGGGCGCCACCCGTCCCCTTCCGGAAGCGGCGCGGCTCGGGTGGCCATCGCGAAGGCTCGGATCGGTGTCGCGTGGTCGCCTTCACGATCAGACACCACAACTACGACTACTACTAATGATCACACTAATAATCCACAATCTATTCTATTTTATGGCGTGCAAGTCACGGATCGGTCAAAAGTTCTTTGGTTATTCGGAATAATAATACTCTAGTCCGATGCGTTTGTGGCCCTTCTTCGTTCTCTATCGTAAAGGCATCCGCTCCCAAAAACTATCAATCCAGTAATCAAAAAGGTCTACGGGGTTTTATTTTTTCTATAGCTATATTAAAGACAATAGGAGGTTTAGAGGCGCATTGGAAAAGTTAGGCAACATCCTTTCACCTTCACAAATCAGAGAGGGCACCCCATTCAGTGTAATGTTGAGAGTAGAGAATAGTAATGCGACGGACAATGTAAAATTAAAAAGCTACAATAATAAATTGTACAAATATAGTCTATGGGCATTTTTATTGAAAAAGTGATATCTATGAAGGTAGAATCAATAAATTTGAAACGGAATGTACAAGTGTATGTATAAAAAAAAAAGAATCTATAAATGTCTTCTTCGTGGCCCTCCACGAAATGATAAAATTGTATAAAACGCATCAAAAGTCTTTATTAAACGCGAATGTAAAAAAAAAAAAAATGGAATTTAAACTGATTGAGACGCCAACTTTCTATGAACGCGTGGTCTATGATCGTTCAGACTCGTCGTTGTTGAGCCCTCACAGCCCGAATCGCCTCCTGGTGGGCGCGCGCAAAGCGAAGATGCACGGCCAAATCCGGGTCGTCGAATCGCTCGATGCCTTTAAGGCCGGTTCGCGCGTGGAGACGTAACACCCCGCCGCCGCCCTTCAGCGGCTCCTCGACGGCGGCCCCCAGGCCCCCCTCCGCCCCGGCGATCGCGGCGGTGGGCAGGCGTAAGACCGCCACCAGCTGGCGCCGCAGCTTCCCCTCCCGCTCCGCCGCCTCCTGGCGGGCGAACTCCAGG